AAGCAGGAAAAGCCCCACAGGACCAGCTCAGGGCTCCCACTCTGGCTGTGAACTCCAGGTTTGGCGCTGCTGAGGGTAAAACCCAAATATTTAACAGTCTGGATGTGTTTTTAGGGTTTCCAGCTGGGCTGTGGTTTGCTGGCAGGTTTTATTCCAACACCTGGGGTGTGATTTTGGAAGGTGATTTTTACTGAAGGGTTTTCAGAGGTGTAGGACACACAGGCCAAGAGTTCTCAGTGTTTCCTCTCAGGGATTTAAGAACAGCCAGGATATTCCTAAGGCTTAAGGAAAACCAGACCAAAACGAACTGAAATGACCATCAAAAAAGCAGCGTAATCTGACTAAAATCTCAGTGTTTGGAGATTCTCCACAGGTCACACTCCACCAAAAGCCACCTTCAGGCTCTGCTACTACTCCTGGATTTACAAAATGAGTATAAACAGCTTGGTTGTTCTTTTGATAATCAACAGGTTAAGGAAAACCAGACCAAAATGAATTGAAATGGCCATCAAAAAAGCAGCTTAGTCTGACTTAGATCTCAGTGTTTGGAGATTCTCCACAGGTCATACTCCACCAAAAGCCACCCTCAGGGTCTCCTATTCTTACTCCTGGACCTACAAAATGAGTATAAACAGCTTGGTTAGTCTTCTGACAACCAGCAGGTTAAAGAAAACCAGACCAAAACTACTAAAATGGCCTGTTGGCTTTTCCATCAAAAAAAGCAGCTTAATCTGGCTAAAATCTCAGTGTTTGGGGATTCTCCAAAGGTCACACTCCACCAAAAGCCACCCTCAGGCTCTGCTACTACTCCTGGATTTACAAAATGAGTATAAATAACTTGGTTGTTCTTCTGACAACCAGCAGCTTAAGACTGAAATGGCCTGTTGGCTTTTCCATCAAAAAAGCAGCTTAATCTGACAAAAATCTCAGAGTCTGGGGATTCTCCACAGGTCACACTCCACCAAAAGCCACCCTCAGGGTCTGCTACTACTCCTGGATTTACAAAATGAGTATAAACAGCTTGGATGTTCTTCTGACAACCAGCAGCATCTGCCTTTGGATCCCTGTCTCCACCCTTAGCAACCAGGCAGCGCAGCAGGGGCTGGAAAATCCCAGGAAAACTGCAGAGCAGGGATCAGTTCCCTGAGGAACGACAGCAGCTCTTTGTTCTGGTGGCAGCTCCTCCCTCAGCCCCAGCCACTGCTGCTCACACCTCGAGCTGTCCCCTGTCCCCTGGCTGTCCCCTCCACCTGCCACCACTCATTTTATCGACCAAACACCAGAATTTCATCATCAAAATGGGGAGGGCTCTGAAACACAGCAGCACCAACAGCAATCCTTGAATTTTCCAGCATTTCTGGGTTGGATTTACCAGCCCAGATTTTTGTTTCAGGCTGGATTATTTGGTTTTTTTGGTTTTTTTATAGGTGGCAGTGGCACTGCTGTGTCCCCCTCACTCAACTCTGACAACAGAGCATGATCTGAGAGAGAGATTTACCACCTCAAGCTGTCCCCTCCACCTCCCCACCACTCATTTTATCAACCAAACACCAGAATTTTATTATCAAAATGGGGAGGGCTCCAAAACACAGCAGCACCAACAGCAGTCCTTAATTTTTCCAGCATTAAAGGCTGGAGGTTTTGGTTCAGGCTGGATTATTTGGTTTTTGTTTTTTTCTTTTTATCAACCAAACACCAGAATTTCCTTATCAAAATGGGGAGTGCTCTGAAAGACAACAGCACCAACAGCAATCCTTAAGGTTTCCACCATTTCTGGGCTGGATTTACCAGCCCAGATTTTTGTTTCAGGCTGGATTATTTGGATTATTATTTTTTTTTTATTGCTGTGTCCCCCTCGCTCAGCTCTGCCAGCACAGCCAGCTCTGAGAGAGATTTACCACGTCATGCTGCAAGTGAGCCCAGAGGTTTCCTTTCAGAATGAAGCATTTAAAGCTTTTAAAACTTTAATGAAGCAGGGAGAAAACTCTGCTGCTGCCAACGGCTTTAGAGAGCGTCAGGAAAATAAAGGCAAACAGAAAAATCCCCTTTGCTGCTCGCTGACATTTCAGAGGGGTCTGTGCCAGGCAGTTTAATCAAGCCCTCACCTCAAAACCACAGAGCTTTTCTTCTGGAGCTG